CACCCTTAATTTTTATCCCAAGGAAGGGAATACAAAGGATAACCCTAAAAAGTTAGAGATTCTAGGTTTTTAGACTCGAATCTAGACTAATGGATGGTGTTAGACACCCCTCATCTACCTTGTTCACAAGGATACTAGGGTTTAGGAGTGCAATTTTTAGAATTAGGGTTTTAAATTTTATTAGGGGAACCCGCCACGATTTTAAGTCGTATGCTTACGTACCCTCTTATGAGGAATCAGAGTCCCAATTCGTAGTTCGTAGGGGTTTGTGTTTTTTGTAGATTACATAGATATTTTAATTCCCCACATACTTAGTCTAGGTGTGTGAGTAGTAGAGATATTTAGACAAAGTGCGCAGTTAATTAAAATATGCTTCGCAATCCTTTTAGAAAATTAATTGTTGAATTACTTTAGTTATGAAAAATGATTTATTGTTGGTTGAATATTTTTTATATGTTAATTGTAGAAAACATCTTTATTTAAATGCATGATTAAAAATATTTTTATGCAATAAAAATAAATAATATTTTGGATGAAATTAGAAAATAATAATTATGTGATTTAATATTAATAATAATAATAATAATAATAATAATAATAATTAATATAATATTAACAAAATAGAAAAAATAAAAATAATAAAATAAAAAAAATATATAAAAAACGCAAAGGGATGCAAATATAGTTTTAGTAGTAAAGAAAGGAAGTGTCAATAGCATGAGCCTGAATTTAGATATTGAATTGAGGGCCAAAAGCGCAAGGGGTGTGCTTTTAAACTACACAGTAAAATAGGGGGGTCTTAACAATAGGGGGCCCAAGTCCAGATTTTGGACTTGGCCCATTAGGCTGGGGATGTAATTTTGCGTTGAAACAAAAAAAAAAGGCGTGCTTAGTAATTGGGCTTGGCCCAAGGCAACGAGTGTTTGGCGAGTCTGTTAGACATTGTATGGACGAGTATACTGTAAGGCCATGGGCACGCGCATTTTAGGTCATTGGATGATGATCACGTGGATACGGTTGAGGGAGCGTGATAATAATCATAGGCATGCGTGCATGGGAATACATAACACTATATCATTAATTCACAACTATATTTTATTATTCTTCATCTGTCTTTCTTTCTTAACCCCTCACCCCTTTGCTCTCTGTTATTCCCTTCTTCTCTAATCTACAAAATCCTAATCGAACCAAACGCGGTGGCGCTTACCGTCTACACCCCAAAATCCAACCTCAATGGGCATTACCCTACCTAACTCTAACCACAAAAATCAAATCGCAAAGCAAACAAACAAAAGGCTGAGTTTCGTTATGTTACCTTCGATCGTGATCTGTATATGTTCTCCTTCTGAGCTCTTCTTTCTTGTGTTTGATAGGTACGGTGATGAAGGGTGCAGCAACAGCGACATAGATAGTAGCGGTGGCGGTTGAAGAGTTTAGGGTTTCATATATTGAAACCCTAGGCAGTGGCAGTGGATACGCGGCGGGATGATGCTCTCTCTTCTTCTTCTTTGTAGATTTCTTGTAAATTCTTCTTTTTTCTCAATTTCTGTCAGTCCCCTTCTATTGTTAATTTTTAGGTTTTTATAGAGTTTTAAGGATTTTGCAAATTAGGAAGAAGATTAATATGTCTGTAATTTTATTATACGATTTTAATCTTGTTTCTGTAATAGGGTTGATTTTGTCTGTAAATCGATTATGTTTTGATTAGTTTCTGTATTTGGTTTGTAAAATTTTAAATTTGTGTTCAATAGATTTAGCGGGAAGCTTCTATTGCTCTTATTCATCTTCACTTGGATTATCTCGGCCCTTTTATTTTTGTTGTCTAACATTTTGCATACTCCTCCTTCAAAGTGAAGTGTGTAGCCTCTCTCCATAATTTGGCCAATGCTTATAAGATTTTCTTTAAGGTTGGGGACTAGTAAGACATCATGGATGAGTTGCGTACCTTTATCTGTCTCCACCATGACAATGCCTATTCCTTTTGATTCAACCACACTTCCATTTCCCAGTCGAACTTTGACTTTGACAGACTCGTCAATGCTTTTGAAAATAGTCTCATCCTTGGTCATGTGATTTCTACATCCACTATCCAAGTACCAACTTCCTCCTTTTTCTTTGACTGAGTCTTGAGTGGCATAGAACATACATTATTCTTGATCATTCTCCTCTTCGATATTAGCTTAATGCCTATTTTTGTTGCGACAATTTTTCTCTACGTGCCCAAACTTCTTGCAATGGTTGCATTGTGGCATATTACGGAACCAACAATTTTTCTCTCCGTGGCCCAGTCTTTTGCATATAATGCATGGAGGATTTTTATTTGTTTTGTTCTTAAGGAAATTCCTAGAACCTTCTCTTCTTCTTGAAGTTTTTCCATAATTTTTCTTTCCTCCATTTTCTTTGTTTTGGGGATGAAATTTTAGCTTTGACTGAAAGACATTTTCAAGTGTATCTTCTTTATGTCTATACAGTCTTTGCTTATATACTTCAAGAGAGCCCACAAGTTATGTCACTGATAGAGTGGACAGGTCTTTGTTTTCTTCAATCGTTGTCACGATTGGGTCAAACTTTGGGGGCATAGTAATTAGAATTTTCTCAACAATTTTCTTGTCAAAAATGTCTTCCCTAAAAGCTCTCATTTGATTAACTATTTATTTAACTTTAGAATAGTAATCTTTAATTGTCTCAGACTCCTTCATCTTCAATAGTTCAAAATCTCTTCTTAAAGATTGAAGTTTGATAGCACATACCTTAACGCTTCCTTGAAACTCCTCCTGCAATGTGTTCCACGCTTCTTTGGCAGTCTTAGCCCCCATAATTCTTGGGAAAATTGCATCAGTTACCTCTTCTTGCAAGGTGAATAATGCCTTTGAATTTTTCTGTTTATTTTTCTTGAACTCTTTTTCTTGAGCTACATTAAGAGCTGAAGTATCTGCGGGAACAATGAATCCTTCTTCTACTATGTCCCATAAATCTTGAGAAGAAAAAAATGTTTCTATTTTAACACGCCAGAAATCAAAATTTTCACCATTGAAAATAGGGACAGAAATAGTTGATGATTGAGTGGTGTTATCAATGTCTTAGACAAATATTGGAGTGGTTTAATAGTACAAGGGAAATTTTTGAAGTAGTTGGGAGGAATTTGAAATGATATGTATTAATTTAACTACGCGCAATGTATGATTGAACGTAGCTCTGATGTCACTGTTAGTAGTGGCTTAGTTGATAGTTGATAGAAGATAGTTTTAGAGAGTTGTTTAGAAAGAAGGCTATGTCATTGATTTTTTGGATGATACATTACAAGATATGAAATGCCTATTTATAGGCTCAAGTCACCAACCTCTCAATGGTGGTGAATGTTTCTACATTACTTTAGATTTTTCTAGAGTTTTCATGATATGGTAGTATCATGATAGTTTTAGGTTCTTCTATCTTTTACATACACTTATAGTTCTAGATTATTCTATCATACTCATACACACTATAGTTTCTAGGGTATTCTACCATTATCATACATATTATATTTAGAAAATTCTAGAAATTTGTAGCAATTTCAACAAACACCACAATATGCACAAGTTGGCTTATCTTTCTTGAAATTCTTAGAATTTTCTTGAACAACACATGCAACTGGTGACTAAGTTGGATTCGATGTAGCAGTTACCTCCCTTTATTTCTCATCTTGAAAAATCATGGACAAAACAACATTGATTGAAGACAAAGAATCCATCAATAAAAATTGATTACGCACCTGATTAAAAAATTCCATAAAAAAAGTAAAAATATATTCATTTTGAAGATGATTAACAATTGGTTGCACTCCCCCATCATGAAAAGTATGAACAAGTGAAAATTCTCTCAATTCTTTCCATAAATATTTGAATTGTGAAATAAACACTATCGGCCTAGGATCCCTTGAAAAGATTCTTTTTCGATTGAAAACACGAGGACTATTTTTCTGTTGAAAATGATCTTGGAAGTTCTTTCCAAATTTTTGAAGCATAAATGATTAGGGGTGGTAAAACGGGTCTAGTCCATTGGACATGCCCATTTTGTCCGCATTTTAGTGCGGAATGAGCCAATAATTTAGTCCCTTACTCACTAATGTGACTGTCCTGTTTTGTTTTTTTCACGGGCTTTTGCGTGCACGAACATTAACATAAAATTTTGCATTTTTAGACTTAAAAAATGTCGTGCCCGCGAGCTTTCCTTGTCCCGCACTCACTTTTTTATGAGATAGGCATAAGTATTAAGCTCTCATCCTCAACTATGTCCACTCCACTTCGTCCCGTTTTTTTACGAACTTTTGCGGAACGAGCCTAAACGGAGTAGGCATGTCCGTTTTCCAGCCCTATATATGACACTTGCATAAGTTTCTTTTGAAACGAAATTGAGCAACCACGAAGAAACCATATTGTTCTTACGCATCCAAGAAAGGAATTGAGGGTTGTTTTCTTCAAGTTTTGAAATTGTGTCATTAACAAATCCAATTTTCTTCTTTCTATCAAGAGCCATCAACATAGCAATGACGCTAAGAATTGAAGTTATCACCGGTTAATGGTTGTGAAAAAAAAAAAAAAAACGAAATGATCATATAAATAGAGATAATAAGGATATCGTGATTCACCATTAAATGAAGCAAAGAAATCTTGAGTTAGAGAAGAGGAAGATGAAGAAAGTGAAAGCAAGAAAGAGAATCAGAAAATTTGTTCAGTTACCATATTGGAGTTAGCAGAATTCAGAGAAGGAAATAAGATTCATTATTGAATGTAAACTAACTTTACAAGGAGAGGCTTCATCCACATATATCACTGATGAATTTCTAACAGAAAAAATGCAAGACATTTACATGCTTAACTAACTTTCATTTAAATAGTTATCTCAACAACTAACTACAACTCAAAATTAACTGACTAATATAATGCATTTTATCCGGATCTCTCTTTCTCACTGCAGAAAAAAAAAACAACCAAGCTTCTATCTTAATGAAGAATTCCCATTTACACAACTTCAACAGCAGTACAATGCATGTTAGGAATCTTGTCTAACAAATCCACCGTTAACATTGAAGCCTTTACCTTCTGCTTTGGAGTAATCGTCTGAGAATATACCATTGAAATGGAATTTGTGGAAGTATTCCTTTTACATGGACCCAACCACTTAGCTAGCATGTATTTATGTTTTCTCCATGGTCCCATATGCATTTTGTTTTCCTTCAAACATCTCTTAGCTGCCATACACATGATCTTTATTATGTTGCTTAATCTCTCTACTTTTCCTACATACACTTCTGGGAGTTTCTTTACAAGATTGTTGTAATCTTCACTTGCTTTTCCCATCTCAAATTGTGATCGAAAGTTTAGTTCTATCATTATCCTAACATCTGATTTCTCTTTGCTTGTACTATGTATCACATCCAAAAATGTATGTTCCCCTGCATAGTTATAATGGTATAATTGTTAGCTTTCGGTATATATAATAATAATAATAATAATAATAATAATAATAATAATAATAATAATAATAATAATAATAATAATAATAATAATAATAATAATAATAAATGACGGAGCTGTATCTATATATATGTGTATATACACCTAACCTAATACCCAATAAATTATTATTTAAACAGCTAATAGATCTAAAGAAAAAAAAGTAGAAAAAGTGTATAAAAAATAAAAATAGAAAAGATGCATGCATTTGTTGGAAAAGTGTATAATTAATTACCTGATGGAAGATTATGTGAGCTTGTCCATTTAGTATTACAAATGGCACTATTGAAACCAGAATTTTGAAGCCACCTAGAAACTTGTCTCATAAAACAGTTTCTACATGCCCTTGCTGAACCCTTGATGTGTCTACTACAACTGCACTCTGATCTATCTATTTCTTCAATCGCTTCTTTTGTTGCATTTCTTAAGCTTAATTCCACCGTACTTATTTTATATACATTCGTCTGCACAAAATCAAAACCAAAATAACTTAATCATAATTTTAATTTTCAGATCTGTCAATTAATAAATGTAGATCATTTATTACTTAATTACCTGCAAAAGCTGAAGTTGATTCTCCCAAAAACTTCTATTCTCCTCAACAACATTGCTGCTACCACCGTGAACCTTCGGAGAACATTCATCAGAGTCATCTTCCATATCTAAAGGAAAATCATCGGAACTTGAACTACTATTACCTAAATCCACATCACAATCATCAAGAAATTCAAACTCTACATCAACAAGATTATTGTCAGCATATTGCTGCAGTTTTTGCCTAGATAATTCTCTACGGAAACCAACAGGCAAATACCTAGTAACTTTGGACCGAGAAGTTGCACCCATGATTAATCAATGTTTTGTGTATGAAAAATAAAATGAAGAATGGATGTGTTTTTATACAAAGGAAAATGAAGGATAAGACAATCTCCAATCGCCGCGCACATAAAAAAGTGATTTTGTCACAACGTGGTTGTTGTTGAATGTTGATTACGATAATAATAATAATACATTGGCTACAGCATGGATCCACGTCATAGGGTATTCAATTATTTCTTCCTATCTAATCCATTTACAACCAACGCTGCAACCTGTTTTTAGTCTTATCCCGTTAAAATCGGTAGGATTAAATCTTTCTGTCGTTTTGTCGATGTATATGGTATATATATATTAGTATACTTTTTACTTATATTTTTAAAAAAAATTAAATATTAGTTATTTAGTAGTGTCAATGAATTTTGTAAAATTATTTAAATTTATGTAATTTGTTTTAAATATCTTAATATATTTAATTTTTTAAAAATTAGTTTTAAAATAAGAATATGTTTGTTTCACTTTAAAAAAATAAAAATATTATATTTTAAAAAATGATTTTTTACAAAAACATTTTTAAAATATTAAAAGTTTTTAAACTTATTTTTTTATGAATTAAACGATTAATTTTCACATTCAGTAACATAAAATATATCTGTTTGCTAAATTCAAATGGTGGTTGTTAGAGATTTTGGTTTTTCTTATGTTAGGGCAAGCTTATAAAGGTGAGGGGTCTTCTTTTGAAGTTGTTTTTTTTAGGGTTAGACTAAGCTCATGAGGGTGAGAAACTCTATAACATGTATATTTTTTCGTGAATATTTGATTCTCCTCCACCATAACCGTGAGGTACTTATCCTAAGAAGTAGTAGCAGTCCTCCCTTGATTAGGACATTTGTTGAATGTTTACTTTTTAATGAATCATGGTTATGACTTCCTTCATACATGGCTATGGATTGTATACGCATTATTTCCTATTTTCTAAGACTCTTAATAATGAACCGAACTAATTCAAGTATAATTTAAAATTCAATTCGATAACTAAATTTATTTTTATAAGTAAGAAATACATTGATAAGAGTACAAAGGGTATTCAATCACGATTACAAAAGAAACGAGTCAAAACTCGATAAAACAAAGAAATGACCAACCAATTGAATGTTTAAGACAAATAAAACAAAGGATCTTTGTTGAATTCATACAAATTACAATTGGTATAAGTAATATCTCCGATGAAAGACCACCTCTAAATCGTAATCTTCACTTTCCAAAGTAACGACATTCCACTCGGAATTCCTAATAATGATACCATTTTTAAGGATCCACAAGTTCCAACAAACAGACAACCAAATGGAACCTTCTTTACCGGGCTTAACTCTGTTTGAGTTACAAATGGAAAATCATTCCAAGAAATTCCCCTTAAAATTGTTACCACCATAATCTAGAAAACCGATCCAATCCAAAACCTCTTTCCAAACTAATTTAGCTACCCGACAATAATGCCGAGAACGAGACATAGTCTCCGGAACCGTAGAGCAAAACGAACAACTAATAACACTAGAGAAAAGAATGATACCTCTAATAATTAAAAGGTCCTTTGTCGATAATATATTCAAAAACCATCTCCAACTGAAAGCTCTAATTTTGAAGGGGACCTCCACTTTCCAAACCAACGACAACGTCGTATCATCACGATCTACCGGACCAAAAAAAGTATGAAAAAAACTGAACAATTTGTAGAAAGAGGCTATCGTATAAATCAGAACAGCCCCTTGTGTCCAAACCACCTGATCCTTCCCCTACAGGTTCGGGCTGACCTGCTGGAGAAGCAGCCGAAGAGAAACCAATGTTGCTGCAACTGCGGCACCTGCAAAAGATTCAGCAACAGTAATCCCAAAACATCCCCACCTCCAAACTCCCTCTGACCAGCCTCCCATACCCTCCACTGCCACATCTTGTAAAAGAGAAGTAGAAAACATATCCGGATACCTCACTACGCCAAAACAGCTCTTAGGCACACTACAAGAAAGATGGTCCCCAACGACATATATTAGCGACGTGGTTATCACGTGAGTAATAAATGCAGTTGCGACGTGATAACCACGTCACAAACATATTTTAATGATAAATAAAACAAGTCAGAGAAGGTTGTTTGAAGGGGGAAATTTGAAATTTGGTAGTGACGTGATAGCCACGTCGCTACATTAAAGGGGGGAAATTAAAGTTGATTGATTACAGGGTGGCAGAGTGGGAAAGTGAATTATATTTCTGTTGAGTGTGTAGCGACGTGAGTATCACGTGGCAATGTTGCGACGTGACAGTCACGTCGCTACTTGATGTTTACATCTCCATAAAATTCTCATCCGTTACAGCATCTGGTGTGGTTTGTTTCCTCTTCCTTTCTTCTTCCTTTCCTCTTCCTTTCTTCTTCCTTTCTTCTTCCTCTCAAACCCAAATTCCCAAATCAAATTTCTTCCATCCCAAATTGTTGAAGAAGAATAAGGTATTCATATTTTGATAAATTTTTATTTCATTTGTTCATTATTTATTATACTGGTAATAAATATTAAAAAGGGTATTTTGTTTAACCTGTAGAGAAATTTGAAGAAGAACACCAAGAGCTACACAAGAAGAAGCAAATTAAGTGAAGAAATTATATAAAGGTATTTATGTATTTTTTTTAATAATTTATATGTATTATATAGATTAGTAGTATATGTATTTTGTTTATGTGAATTAAAAAAATATTTTACTTAATTTTAGTAGTAGGTTAATTAGTATTATAGGTTAATGTTTAAAATAAAATGAAAATTAAAATGTTTTATATATTAATATATTATTAAACATAAATATTATTGTTAATATATATAGGTTAATATTTATTAATATTATTGCATGTTATATAGACATATAAAAAAAATTTGTTAGTATATACGTATAAAATAAAAAAAATTTGAATATATATTAAAATAAATTTTTTTAGAAAACATAAAATTAAAAGTCTTATTTTTTATAGATGTATATATATATATGTTAACACATAAATTTAATAACATATTTAAAAACAAAAATGTATATTATATTTATTATAATAGTTTTATTTTTTTATTTATATGTTAAAGATATGAAAAAAAATTATATATTAAAATAAGAATTTATAAAAACATAATTAAAAAAAGAGTATATATATTATATTATTATTTTAATATTATTGTTATATATATAATAAAAAGTATATATGTTACATTATTTGTTTTCTAATATTATTGTTGTATATATAATAAAAAGTAAATATGTTATATTATTGTTTTTTGATATTATTGTTATATAATAAAAAATTATATATTTTACATTTGAATATTTATTTATATGTTAGTATATATATAAAAAAGCAAAATTTATATTTTTAAGAATAGTATTAAATAGTTTAAGAATAATATTATTAAGTTGATTAATATTTCTAATGAAAAAGACAATGATTGTATAAATGTGCAGTATGGAATATTATCGGTATTATCGTAGTTGGATGTACGATAGAACATATCCAGGAAGAAGTGGACTTAAACCCAATTTTATAGTAGGAGTTGATGGGTTTATTAAGTGGGCGTTTGCTCAGGATTGTTGTCGAAGCGATTGAGGGGTTAGGTGTCCCTGTCTTAAATGTGAATGTAGACCAATAATCAGTGACCCAGAGGAAGTAACACGTCATCTGCATAGAAGGGGATTCATTGAAAATTATTGGGTTTGGACGTATAATGGTGAAGAACTACTGGTTAATGTACCAGAGACTAGCAACACGCATGCTTCAAGTAGTCGACCGGTTATGGAGTATGAGGAGAACTTTAATTTGATCGGTGACATGGTTGAGGATGCTTTTGGTGTGAACGTGACATATGATGAACCTGGAGATTTTGAAGGGGATTTATCAATTATTGAACGAGATGAATACGCCGTTGTTTAAGGGGTCGTCAGAATCAAAGCTATCAATGTGTGTGAGATTATTGGCCGCCAAGTCAAATTGGAATGTTTCTGATCAATGTCTGGAACATTTTGCAAAAATGATGTTGGACTCCACCGCTATGAAAGACAACTTGCCTACAAGTTATTATGATGCAAAGAAGTGGGTGTCGAAGTTGGGTTTAAAAGTAAGAAAGATTGACTGTTGCATTAACGGTTGCATGTTGTTTTATGACAATGAGTTTGGTACTCAAGATGGATCGTTAGAGGAGTGTAAGTTTTGTAATAGTCCAAGATATCAAGTTCGCAGTAGAGCCGTTAACAGCAAGCAAAAGCGTGTAGCAGTAAAATCCATGTTTTATCTTCTTATAATACCAAGGTTAAAAAGAATGTTTGCTTCAATGCACAGTGCAAGTCAAATGACATGGCATCATACAAACCAAACAAGTTATGGCACTATGCGACATCCATCTGATGTTTTATTCATAATATTTTTTACTAATTATTTTTAACTTTATTGTTTAGACTAAGGAGATGGGGAGACCACCATTGATCATTGAGTTGATTACGAGGACTCGGACAAAGAAATCGGGAGGTTTTGTCGACGAGCGCACAAAGAGAGCTTTTGTAATTAATTTAATTTATGTTTTTTTTTTAAGTTAATAACAAAAATAGTGACGTTATTTTCACGTGGCAATCTATAAGTTGTGGCGTGATTATCATGTGGCAACTGATAAATTGTCACGTGACTGATTTTCATGTGGCAACTGATACATTGCCACGTGAAAATCACGTGACAATTCATAAGTTGATTTGTGAAAATCACGTGACAAATTTTTAATATATTTGAATTTAGTATAATTTAATATATAAATGTTTTAATTTAGCATAAA